CCCCAACACACACACCCCTCCAGTTTACAGAGCTTTATCAAACAACAAACCTTTAATTTTTTCTGAAAGAATATCTGATTCTGTACACAACAACATGTTGCATAAACTCCCAGCTTCTGAGTGTTCAGGAGTTTGCAGCATTTCTCAGCTGCTGTTTGTGATGAGACTCAGACAGGAAGTGGTTTTCACGTCTCGTCCAGCCCATCGTGTGTCGGTAAAACTTACAGAAAAGTTCTTCTCCAGATAAATGAAGAACCTCTGGGACATTGTTCTGTCCTAAACATCACCCTAAGACCGCTTCATATTTTTGGAGGACGTTTTTGTTTTAGTGAGACTCGCATTGCGGCTCACTTTTCTTTTATCCCCCTTCCCTCGGGAGGGGAGCTCAGAGCTCACCCTGCGTGCCTGTTAGCAGGTAACAGCAGGTACAGGAAGCGACAGCGGCCAAAATACCTCAGATACTCACCCAAATAAACGAACTCTGTGAGATTCAGCATTTTATACTGGATTACTTTGGTTAATTTTGCAAATCCGTCTGCATTTCCTTAGCAACCTATAAATGGAAGTGGAGCAGGAGGAGGTGGATTCTGATTGGCTGTTGTCGCGCACATTTCCGCCATGTTTGATCGAGGAAGAGGCTCACAGCTGATCACCGTGATCGACCTGAATTTTTTCTCGATCAATAATCACGATCAAATATTCAACCAGCCCTAGTCAAGAGGACTGTGATCAGTTATACATCAGGGAAACAAAGCAGCCACTGTTCAAAGAATGGGCCAACACAGAAGAGCTACATCATCAGTCCAGGATTCTACGGAGAAACATTAGCTTGAGAGAGGAGTAAAGGAAGCCATATTTGTGAAGACAAACCGTCCCTCACAGAGGTGGAGGTCTCCGTGTCCAGTTGTCTCCCTGTTATTGCAAGTATAACTCAGCCCCCTGTAAACAATAGGCGGCCATAAGGGCACTAATCATCGATCGTAAGGCTGATGGTCCCCCTTTGCACATGAACAAATAGGTTTGACTGTCATTGTTAAACTTGTTAAACCTCTATGTGGAGGCAGTGCTTATAAGGCTGAGTTCACCTGAAACTCCTCAGACTGAAGAAGTCTCTTGGAGGAGAGACGAAACGTTTCACTAAAGAAGAACCCGTCCAAAGGACCTACTCAACTTTTATTTAAACTATAACAAGTTTTTTAGGTAAACAAAGACCATGTTGACAAGTTTTGAACCCTCTTTCCTTCTTACCATGATGACTCCTGTCTCGTTATTGGCCAGCATGATGGAGATGAGACAAGTATTTGGCCGAACCACAGCAATGACATCTTCTACGTCTACACAAGCTGTCACCTTCGACACGGGCACAAACGTCACGTCTGGGACAGGAGAAGGGAAGCTGCTTCATCTGTCTGTTACGGGAAGACATGTTTGTTTAAAAAAAACTGGTTTCCTACCTGCCTTGCCTTCCGTCTGTAGGTGCTCTGCTGCGAGTTTGATCGAGTCATGCTCCACGTTGGAGGTAATGATGTGCGGCAGGTCTCTGCTTCCGTTTACATCACCTTCACCTGCAGTTCTGCAGTTCCTCCTGAAGTGCTCCAGAGCCGTGTGCAGCACCAGATTATTAGCCTGCCAGATTATCAGTTTGGCATAAATCAAAACTGGCTGCACTGAAACCACTGTTCTGAACACAAGCGGAGTGTTTAGTTTTTCACAATAAGAGCAACTGTTACCTCTGTTCCACCTGAAGTGAAAACAACGTCCTCTGCTTTACCTCCAACCATTTTTGCCACATTCTGTCTGGACTGATTGATTATAGCTTTAGCCATGGCGCCTAAAAAAAAACAAGTGATTTATATATGAAATGTTTTATCACTGAACAAGTAAAAACAGAATGTTTTGACACAAAAATCTTACTTACCTGCTACATAGCTGCTACTGGGGTTTCCCCAGGCGTCCCGGAGAGCTTCAGAAACAGCCTGAATCACCTCCGGCTCCAAAGGAGTAGTAGCATTATAATCCATGTAGATCCTGTGTTGTATCAAGAATATTCTCAGCACACTTTATGTGTGAGCTGTTTGTTAACAACACATTATCAGAGAGGGAAAATACTCAGCCTTACCTTTCTTTGCTCAGGTCTGCACCATGATGCAGGTCAGTAAAGGTGTGAATCCCTTCAGAGGTTGTGTCCACAGATATTTTGGACATTCTGCTCTTCTGGGGAAATGAAACAACAGAAATGAGCACAGAAACGATTAGAGGGGATGTGTGGCACCATGTTGTACACGACCTTGGTGCAGGAAGATCGGGGATCAAATCCCAGTACCAGAGTCAAACCACATTCCTACAGATCAGTGGTGGGTGGGTGGGGGTACCAGAGAGCTCATGGGGGGCAACAAGTCCATTTGAATAACTAAAACTCAGTTCTTTGTGTTTTTCACCAAATAAAAGTTAGTAAATATTCACTTCAAGCTTTTATTGTTTTGATAGACATAAAAGTTGAATGCATCTTTGGAAGAGGTGGGGAGTGGCAAGGGTTAGCAGGGGGGCTCGGGGGTGTGTGTGGAAAATGAGTTGGGAACCATTGCTTCAGATCAACAACTATTAGAGAATCTGCACATCCTGCAGTCAAATGCAACGTGAATGCCGGGTTAACGATTCCCCATGCAGATTCTTTTAAGAGGCAGGGTCAGTAATGTTTACAGTACATAGTATAAATGAGGTAGCTAAGTGTTGTTTCTGGATGAAATAGTGTTTACTTGCACGCCTCTCTGTATAAACCACCCCTCTCATTCGGATTATAAATTAATTCTGATCAAGCTGAGTCAGATTAGAATATTCTGATAGTGTTCTTTACATCAGTGGTTCCCAAACTTTTTGTCTTCTGACCCACAAAATATCCATGGCAAAAACTTGTGACCCTAAATACGTATTACTGGTCTGAGTACATGAACTTCATTAATAACCCTAAAAACACAGGCTTTTTGACAATCTAAACAGCTTATACACAAATATAAATAC